CGCCGAGTTTCTGGCCGTCGCCGCCGAGGACCTCAGCTCCCCGGCCGGGGCCGCCGCCTTTGCCGCCAAGATGCCCCGGTGCCGGGGGGCGGCGCTGGCGCGGGAGGAGGTGAGGGGGCCGAGGCGGGAGGGATCGGGGGTCCGGTCAGGGCCTCGCCTTGACCTTCACAGGCGTGACCCGAGCGTGAGGTCTCTTACCGCGTCCCAGAAACCACCCCCTCTGTAAATGTGTGAGAACCCACTGCATCGTGAACTTCTGCGCCCCTCCCCGTCGAGGCCGGGGAGGGCCAGAGGACCTTTTGGGGGGGATCTCGAAGTCACTTTGATGACAGACTTAACAGGTCAGGGACATGCCCCCAGTGCTCTTGTGACCTGCTCTGTCGCGTGTGTGCGCGTGTGTGGGCTCAGCGCCTTTCTGCATCTGTTTGGGTTTCCATCGTGGAAACCCCCGCCAGTGTGCCCCCCAAGTCACTCCCCTTTTGGAGAGCAGGCCTCAGTCCAGAACTTACTTCTCCCAGGCTGAGAGAGGCCCCATTCCCCTGGCTGCTAGTGCTGGGATCTGGCCTGTGTTTGTGGAATGAATGCGAATGAGGAGGCGCCAGGAGTTGAGATTCACCTTGGCCAGGCTGTTGGCAAGTTTAGAGTCTGCCCCCTCCCCTCTCCTCTTTGTCTTTCTCTGCAAAGCTCCCGGGCCTTTTCTTTCACCCTTGCAGGCTGCCCCACCCCATTCCCCTGCTCTTGGGAGTTGATTCCTCTCCAGACCTGCTGTGCTTTCCCAAGCCTCCTCTGCGGGGAATAGTCTGGGATAGACACTCCACCACTTATGGCCAAGGGAGAATAAAGTGTTTTTGCAGCTTCCTTTCTGAAGATTCCCTGTATTGGGGTGGCATTCTGTACCCAGAAGGGACTGTCACCTTCCAGCCTTCATAAGAGTGTTGAGTACCTACGGTGTGGCAGATACAAAGCTCAGTAGTACCCTGGGCCAGTCAGTGCCTTGACAGTCTCTCCTCCTCCTCTGCCCCGAAGGCTGAATTTCCACCCCCCAAGTCTCCAACTCTGTGTATGGCTTTGTAAGGATGGCACAAGATTGTGGAAAGAGGGTTGACTTTGGGGAAGGCCAACCCGTGTTCAAATTCTGGTCCTATAATTTGCCAGGATGTGAACTTGGGTGCCCTGAGCTGCATGAACTCCATTTTTGGCATCTATAAAATGGGGATAGTGATGTTTACCTCACAGGGCTATGGTGTCACATGAGTCAGTGTGTATAAAGCATGCCTCCCGATAAAGGGAATGATTATCTGGTTAATTGACAGAGCTCTTTAAGCAGTGACTGAATCTCTTTGGTCCTCAGTTCTCTTATGGAGTCCAATCTAGTGTTTTGCCCGTAATAGGGGTACATGTTTTAATGAAATTAAGACGTCATCAGGACTTTGGCTTCCTTTCTTGACAACTTGGAATTCACTGCCTGTGGATGTGTCTGTGTCGTGGGGGGGGGGGGGGGGGGGGGGGGTGTCACACAGCCTTATCCTGAGGAGAGCTTCCTGAAGTTTGTCTTCATAGCCTTGTATTTTTGACCTGGAAGAGCTCAGTGCCATGGGCATCCTTAGGGTTTTCATAGTTCACGCTCCTCTCTGGGTTGTTCATTAAAATGTTAAATCAGAGCAAGAGCAGCAGAAGTGGCTGCACCCTGAACCCTTCTCCAGGGACAGAAATGCCCATGTATGCCCTTGCATCTGGCCTTGTGTGAGGTGGTAGGGGGGTGGAATGGGTCTAGAGACCGCAGCAGGCTCTGGTGAGGGCACAGCTTTGCCTTATTTCAGGTTTGGGACTTTGCTTTGTTGCATTCAAGTGTTAATTTTTGCAGCTGAAAAGCTTGTGGCACCCAGATACAGCCTTTCTCTTTAGCATTTCAGTGCCCAAAAAGTTAGTATCTGACCTTTGGAGTGGACTTTCCTGAAATTTCCTGTTTGGTTTGCATTCATGTTTATGTTTACCCATAGTTTGATGCTGGCATTCCCTTTCAACAAGTGCTCCCTACTTTTTTTTTTTTTTTCATTTTAATTGTGAAACTGCAAATGTCAGGGAGTATTAATGAGGATAATCATTCTGTGAGCCTCCTTCATCCTATCCTGGGCCTCCTTACATTCATCTTTTCACTGATTTTCACAGTAACATGGGTGAACATGGGCCCATGGAGGTTTAGACAGTTGTCTAGGTCACACTATGCGTCTGTGTGATTCTATGGATGGTCTGTGTTCAGTTCTCCATGCCATCTCTGTGCTAGGCACCAAAGACAAAGATACTGCTCTGGTTTGCTGGCTGGTTGGGAAGATGCAGCCATTCTCAGGAAATAAGTAGGGACTCCAGGAGTCTACCCTGAGTGCCCATAAAGGCTGGTGGAGCAGGGAAGAGAGAACAGTGAGGATGGTGCAGTCAGGGAGAGCTTCCTGGAGAAGGTGACATTTCAGGTGACTGCATAAGTCAGAGGACTGGTGAGTGAATTTGGAGACTTGGGGGGTAGAGGGCATAATCAGGAACAAAGTAAGCCATTTTGAGCAGTGCTGAAAATTCATGGGATATTGTACATCTCAGCTATCAGTGGGTTTTAGATAAAGCTGTCTGCCACGTGTGTGTGTAGAAAGATTGATTTAATGCCATGTTAATTGCACAGAGGGCATAATTTTTAATGAAAAATTTAAAAGCCATAATGGAAAGGGCTAAAGTCCTCTCTGGCCACTTCTCAAATCCCTGTTCTCTCCCCAGAGGTAAATGCTGTGGAAATATACAAGCTTCCCAGTGCATCCTCAGAGAAAATACATTATCTCTGCGGGAGTGGTGTTTAGGAGGGAATGTTTACCTGAATTGGTGTCATGTTTGACATTTTGACATTTTATCAGTGTCAAATTTATCTTTTCCTTTGTGATTTCAGCCTTTTTGAATCTTGGATTATTCTTAATGTTCTTGGGAATTTTACATTCTGCTTGGTTCTGTGTCTGTCTTACCAAAGAGAATAAAATTTTCATTTTACAAAAAATAATAAAAATCATCCTTTTAGAATTGTTTGCAAGAAACATAAACTTCTTTACATTGAAGGGAAATCTGCTTTAAGGAATTAGAGGTACCTCGTGGAACTGAAGGGTGGTAAGTAAGACCTCAACAGGGCCTCACTTGATGCTGGAAAGTTGTCAGGAAAAGGCAGCTGTTTTATCATTCTCTTGCTCGTTTCTGTCTGTCTGTCCGAGCCATGCTTTTCCTCAGCTGTCATCACCTAAGCCCAGAATGCGGCTTCAGCCCCCATATTCACGTGACCTCATCCGTCCAGCATCTAAAGGTAACCCAGCCAGTCTTGTGCCCCACTTCCAAGTTCCTGACAGAGAGCTTGGTAGCCCAGCCCAGTTTCTGGATTTGTTCCAGAAGCTGGGTCTCCACCCCCGGTTTCATCAGCAGAGGTCGTGGAGGGATAGACTCAGGCCTGGTAAACATGGCCGCAGAGACCTGTGGGAGGGGACATGTCTCAGAGCAGGGTGAAGGGCCTGGAGGTCCATGTCCAAGGGACATTTGCATTTCTCTTGGCATAATCTGGGCTCTAGGGAGAGGCACTGAGCTCATCCTGTTTTGTGCTGCCCTGGTTACTCAGGTGTAGCTGAACCCCAGTTTGGCAAGCTCGGTGAATGGGGAATTAAAAGGGTGGATTGGAGAGCTAAGGACGTGCAGCAGCACCTGGAGGCCCTGAATGCCGGTGAGCTCTGGACTGGACAGTAGGGACCAGTGGCCACAGTTACATTGCCCCAGGAGCTGAGGCCAGCCCTGCCAGGGGACACAGCAGCCAGTATGTAGTGCCCGGAATGACTCCAGGCCAGGCAGATACGTGGCTCAGTAAAAAGAGATGCACTTCTTGCTCTGCAGAGCTTTTAGTCTTCTGGGGAAGACAGCAGTAAACAGGTAAACAATCAAACAAGTTAGGAATTGCTGCTTGTAACAAGGGCATGAGGGCTCATCCTCCTGGTCAGCTTCCTTGACACTTCCTAGGTCCGCAGCTCTCCTGTGTTAGCCTGTCTCCCAGGCGGCTCACCCACACCCATGGTTTTAGTTCTCTCCCATCTTAGGTGACTCACACACTGTACCTCAGCCCAGACCCTTGTGTCCAACTGCTCACTTGCTGTTTCGCTCTGATGCCTCAACATGTCCAGAACCACATTCCCCCGGGCTGGCCCTTCTGAGAAAGTGCTCCTTTCTCAGGGAGAGGTGCCTCCCTCCGTTCTGTTACACACGCCAGGAGCCTTGTACCTCCGTGCTCTCACTTTGTCTCCCAAGGACATCAGTTTTTCCTTCTAAGCGTTTCTGGAGTCTGCCCACTTCTCTCCATCCCTGCTCCAGCCCCCGGCACCATCTTCTCTCCCCTGAAACACCACAGTGGCTGCCTAACTTGTCTGTTTCATTCTAGCTCAGTTCTCCTTAATAACCTCTGTATCTATGCCCTTGGCAATGTACATTTTCCATTTATTTGTATACATTCTTTTTTTTTTAAAGATTTATTTTTATTTATTTGTGCAT